ACACACACACACACACACACACACACACACACACACACACACACACACACACACACACACACACACACACACACACACACACACAAACACACACACGCCTAACACACTCACAGACCTGCGGCGGAAAACACGGCAGATTTCAGACTGTGTAGACCCCCTAGTAAAGAATGCTAAAATAACACTAAGTAACAATGATTTAGCTTTTTATTTTCTTCGTTCTAGTGTATTGATTCAAATAATTTTTCATTCTGTGGCTCCCGATGAATATTTGATAATCTATATGGGCCCGTTCAGTGTCTATGTGTGGAATTCGTGTGGAATTGCAAATAGAAAAACGAAGGGAAGAATAAGAAAATACACGGATAAGATAGAACAACGAAGGGAAGGACAAGAAAATACCCATGATTGTATAAATATTTGTATTTTTGCATGCCAGTCACTCTAATAATAACCCCCCCCCCCCCCATTTTTGCATTTCAGACTTGGCCATTCAGTTTCCAGCGAACACCGGACACAGCAAATGGCGGAGGAGGGGGAGGAGGGGGAGGAGGAGGAGGGGGGACGGGAGAACACTGTGAAAACTATGGACCGTATGACACTACGGGGAACACTATTCAGGCGCATTCGCATCCTCATGCTATGGAGAGGTGAGTGATGAGGGAAAGAGACAGGGAGAGAGAGAGAGGGAGAGAGGGAAAGGTGAGTGAGAGAGAGAGAGAGAGAGAGAGAGAGAGAGAGAGAGAGAGAGAGAGAGAGAGAGAGAGAGAGAGAGAGAGAGAGAGAGAAAGAGAGAGGGAGAGAGAGAGGTGAGTGAGGGAAAGAGAGAGGGAGAGAGAGAGGTGAGTGAGTGAAAGAGAGAGGGAGAGAGAGAGAGAGGTGAATGAGGGAAAGAGAGAGGGAGAGAGAGAGAGGTGAGTGAGGGAAAGAGAGAGAGGTGAGTGAGGGAAAGAAAGAGGGAGAGAGAGAGGTGAGTGAGGGAAAGAGAGAGAGAGAGAGAGAGAGTGAGGTGAGTGAGGGAAAAAGAGAGGGAGAGAGAGAGGTGAGTGAGGGAAAGAGAGAGGGAGAGAGAGAGAGGTGAGTGAGGGAAAGAGAGAGGGAGAGAGAGAGGTGAGTGAGGGAAAGAGAGAGGGAGAGAGAGAGGTGAGTGAGAGAAAGAGAGAGGGAGAGAGAGAGGTGAGTGAGGGAAAAAGAGAGGGAGAGAGAGAGGTGGGTGAGGGAAAGAGAGGGGGAGAGAAAGAGGTGAGTGAGGGAAAGAGAGAGGGAGAGATAGAGAGAGGTGAGTGAGGGAGAGAGAGAGGTGAGGGAAGAGAGAAGGAGAGAGAGAGAGGTGAGTGAGAAAAAGAGAGAGAGAGAGAGGTGAGTGAGGGAAAGAGAGTGAGAGAGAAAGAGAGAGAGAGAGAGAGAGAGAGAGAGAGAGAGAGAGAGAGAGAGAGAGAGAGAGAGAGAGAGAGAGAGAGAGAGGAGAGAGAGAGAGAGAGAGAGAGAGAGAGGAGAAGAGAGAGAGAGAGAGGAGAGAAAGAGAGAGAGAGAGAGAGAGAGAGAGAGAGAGAGAGAGAGAGAGAGAGAGAGAGAGTGGAGAGAGAGAGAGAGTGAGAAAGAGAGAGAGAGAGAGAGGTGAGTGAGGGAAGAGAGTGAGAGAGAGAGAGAGAGAGAGAGAGAGAGAGAGAAGAGAGAGAGAGAGAGAGAGAGAGAGAGAGAGAGAGAGAGAGAGAGAGAGAGAGAGAGAGAGAGAGAGGTGAGTGAGAGAGAGAGAGAAAAAAAAGAGAGAGAGAGAGAGAGGTGAGTGAGGGAAGAGAGAGAGAGAGAGAGAGAGAGAGAGAGAGAGAGAGAGAGAGAGAGAGAGAGAGAGAGAGAGAGAGAGAGAGAAGGAGAGAGAGAGAGAGAGAGAGAGAGAGAGAGAGAGAGAGAGATAGTGACTGGGTGAGTGAAAGAGTAAAAGAGAGAGAGAAAAAAAAGAGAAGAGAGAGAGAAACATTCCGTAACAAGCCATCAGATTATAACGTTACACTAGATGATTATGATCTTCAATTATAACATGTATGGGGTTATTATATAGGCCCTTATGTTTGTATGTATGTACGTGTGCATTTATGTTTGTATGTATGTACGTGTGCATTTATGTTTGTATGTATGTACGTGTGCATTTATGTTTGTATGTATGTACGTATGTATGTGTGTAGGTTTGTGTGTGTGTGTATGTATATATATATATATATATATATATATATATATATATATATATATATATATATATATCTACATACATATATGGATATATGTATGTATGTATTTTTGAATGAATAAATGAAATAAATATATAGGTATGTATGTATATTTATATGTATGCACATATATATCTGTATATATATTCATTTGCTTTTTATGCCGCAAGTAGCTAACACACCCACGTCCTTTCAGCAGATACTTCAGCGACGAAATTCCAGACTACGATTATTACTCTTCGGAGCTGTTGCACATAGCCTGAAACGACTCCAGGAAGGAAGTCTGAAGTCTCTCCTTCAAGAGAATTCTAGTTTCCGAGTGGGAGGTGAAAAGTCTCTGAAAGCGGCTGAAAGGTGGTTCTGAAAAGACACTGGAGGTTGGCTGACTGAAAGCGGCTGTGAAAGGGGTTCTAAAAGTGACTGAAATTGGCTGGAAAAGTGCCTGAAATGATTGGAAAAAAAGAGATTGAAGGCATTTGGATGTGACTGAAGACTTTCTGAGAGTGACTGAAAACATGAGTGGGAGAGTGTTTGTGAGTGACTGACAGAGGATGAAAGTGATCGAAAAAAGTGGCTTAAAGTGAAACAAGAAAAAAAAACTGAAATTGACCGAAAAAGTGGCAAAAAAGTGAACGGAAATGTGACTTAAAAGTGACTTGAAAGTGTGGCTGAAAGTGACCGAAAAAAAGCGACTGAAAGTGTCCGAAAACACGCGGTCTCATTATCTAGTCTTCGCTCAACCTTTTAGATTGTAATTTGTTTTGTATATTCACCTCCTTTGCTTTGTATTATAAAGAGTCCTTTAGAAAAAAAATAGTTATAAGAAAATAGATAATATTAATTATGATCATGAGCTATCACGATCTATTTACCGTCAATAAAAAAACCGATCTCATAAATATTCTAAAAAAAAAGAAAAAAAGAAAAAAAGAAAAAAAAGTAATAGGAAACAGGAAAATAACCCCCTAAAATCGACCCAAGTCTGAACCAGATTCGAAGCTGTGAATCAGTGACAGGTGGCGGCAGTGACAGGAAAACTTCGTAACGTACAATACGTCGTTGTTCGTAATTTACAATAATGATGATAATAATAAACATTATAATGGTGATAATAATAATAATAATAATAATAATAATAATAATAATAGTAATAATAATAACAATGATAATAATAATAATGATAACAATAACAATGATAATGATAGTGATAATAATAATAATAATGATAATAATAATAATAAGAAGAATGATAATGATGATAATAACAAAAACAACAACAATAATAATTATCGTCATTATTATTCCTATTAATAATAATAATAATATTATTATTATTATTGATATTATTATCATTGATATTATTATCACTATTATTATCATTATTATTATTATTATTATCATTGTTATTGTTATAATTGTTATTATTATTATTATAAATATTAATATTAATAATGATTATTACTGTCATTGTTATTATCAATATTACTGTTATCATTATTATCATCATCATCATTAACACTACTATTACTGCTTCTGCCACTACAACTAATACCAATACTATCATTGTCATCATGCTATTATCGTTACTATTAATTGTCATTATTATTGTCACAGTACTCATAGCCACGACGATAACATTAATATTGATAATAATGATGATTATTTTTATTGCTTTCATTATTGTTCAGGTGTTAGTAGTATATTGTTATTATTATTATTATTATTATTTTTATTATTGTTATTATTATTGTGATTATGATTATGATTATGTTTATTATTACTGTTATCATTTATATCATCATGATCATTATTATTATTATTGCTAATACTAGCAATCACCTCCATAAACGCTATCATTATCATCATAATTATCCAAGTTTTCAGTACCATCATTACCACTTTTATCTGCATCATGGCCATTCTCATTACCATTGTCATTACTGTTAGGATATTTTGAAATCCTAATTAGGCATGTTTCTATGACTATCATTATCATGGTCCTCGTCCCTTTAATTACAACAGTTATCAGCTCAACTCATAAATAACTTATTTATTACCGTAATTATCATTAATTCATTTCACTGCCCTCATTGCAACGTTGCAGTCCATTTTTGCGTTGCGTGAATCTTGCAACACCATGTGGTAAATTAGTTTTCTGTTCTCCTGTAAGATAAGAACATCGTTATCTTTTCTTCTGCGAATAAGTAAAATAAAAATATCCTGGTGTGATATAAGAAAAAAAAATGTGATTAGAAAATCATTATTTTTCCTTGTATGAGTTCAGAAGAAAAATAAAAATCTGCAAAAAGAACATTTTATTTTCTTTGTGTGAGATCAGAATTTCATTTTCTATCTCTACAGCGAGATAAGGAAATTCAAGAAAATTTTCGGTTGAATTATCTTTAAAGGGAGATATTTTCGATCATTCTTTTGATATCCGATCGGGTGGCATTGCAATGTGAGTGATTCCTTATATGTAAATAAAGTTTTACCATTTGAAGTTCCGTGGTCTATTATCATTGTTATTTTCAATGTTATCATTAGTATTAATCAATGGCATTATTATTGGCGCTGTTAACGCAATTCTTAATATTATTTATTGTTTTCATTGTTATTAATATTAGTATTATGATTATGATTATTATTATCATAACTAGTAGTAGTAGTAGTGATATAATTATTATTATAATAGTTATCACTACCACTACTATTACATTATCATTTAATTGAAAATGTGCGGCTGCATCTCAAAACCCAGGGAAAGAAAAAGAGATTGGATAAAAAGAAATGTTTATGTTTATTAAAACAAATAAACAACTCGGGCTGATTCGTTATAACAAAAAACTTAAACCTACGTGATGGCAACATCGTGTCCATCTTGACAATGAGTTTAACAATAACAAAAAGTGTTCTGCAAGTGTTATTATCAACACGCAGAACATCAGCATGAACAAATGCCCAACAACATCCTGAGTCATAACGGAACAAACCATTTTAAAAAATCACTTTCTCTTACTAAAACATTCAAAGATATATTCCTTATAACCATCATTAAAATAAAATCACTTTCTCTTTCTAAAACATTCAAAGATATATTCCTTATAACCATCATTAAAAAAAAATAACTTTCTCTTTCTAAAACATTTTCCTCATATCGTTTTCAGTATCAAAAAAGGGAAATCAACATCTTTTTCACATCCAAAACGTGTACAAAATGTGTACCAAACCTCAAAATAATAATAATAATAATAAAACACACACGAAAATGCATTCTTTGGCAGCTATATGACACATAGCTTTTTCAATACATACATTGCAAAACGTAAATTGCTTGATATCGTGAAAATTCCTAATTATAATTACACATGGACTGGTAGTAACAAAATGCGTATTTTAATTACTGAAATTTCTACTTTAAAAGAATATTTAAAGGATCAAAATCAATCTGTTATCTTAAATCAAGATATAACAGTTATTTGATTTGATTTTATCCCCAAAAAAGACACAGCACGTAAATAAAGTAAGGGTGAGCGTTAAATATACGATACAAAATTAATCCGCGCGAAAAAAAATAAGATCCTACACAAAATGATAAATACATGACCAACTTTGAAAGACATTGAAAAAGACTGAAATCACAGAAATCTGGAACAAGATGCTTAAATTATATATGAATGAGACAAAGGAGATAATAGAGAGAGAATGAGAAACGAGAGCAAACAGTATAAACGAAGACAACCTTCGACAAAAAATGCCTCCCTGTCGTCTATATTGCCACGACGTGTTCATAAATAGAAGACACGCGATAAACACCGCATATATATATATATATATATATATATATATATATATATATATATATATATATATATATATATATATATATATATATATATATATATCAGGCGTCGTATTGAGGAAGGAGACAAACAAACACAAAGATACACGTTCACTGTGATGTTATGAATGACGTCCGAAGAGTATGTTCCACGCGCAACGGAGTTCCTGCCGAGACGTGAAAGAATGTGTGCAGGAGGAATGAGTTGTTAAAGAGTAACCAACAGGATATCATAAACAAGGAGTAACGTCACATACTCTCTGTACTGGCCGATACATGACGAGAACTCACGGGCACTTTATGTTCATTTCACTCATGTATTTCGTAGTTTCTTCGCGGAAGGAAACAGGAAGATTTCTTCGTGATGACGAGGAGGAAGCTAGTTATCACCACTTTAAAAGGGAAAAGAAATATCATTTAGTTCCACGTCTAGTCTTCAGTCACTGTTTTTAAATGCCCTTGTTCGCTAATGCATCATAATACTGGGATATCTTAAGAGTACACCATGAGGGATTTATAACACTCATTGCACATTATGGTGGTACATCTGCTGTCTGTACTTCGCTTCGCGTCACTAATATAGTTTATTTCTTAATGCACTAAGCCGTCGGGACGAAGAAAGGTCACACATACATACGTTTCTTTTTCCTTGTCATATCAGCACCGTTCATACCTAGGAGTGTGAGAGCCAGCATATGTTAAAATTATCGTTTTCTCTCCACATAACTCATTTTTTCTAGTGTAGTAGTAAAGAATGCTAGTTTGTTCGCATTCTAACTAATCATATATGCTCTGTGTTCTTATAACGCTTCCATACGCAAGGCCAACCACACACTAACGTAAAGTATACACAGATGGGTCTTCCTCCTTCACAGAATTCAGAACCATAGTTTGGCTTTGCTTCGCCACACGGAAGCGCCTCAAACACCCTCGTCCTTCACCAGCACCAAGTGTTCTCCCCCAAGAAGAGTCGCCTTCCCCGTCTTTCTGAGTGCCACCCGAACGTCCGGAGAAGAACCTCGAGCTTAGGACCCCTTCCCTCGCTCACACAACGATGTCGTGGATCCAGCGGAGGAACTTGGTGATCTTCGTGTACATGCCCGGCTGCCCTCTGCGCCCGCACCCCTTGCCCCAGGACGTGATGCCGTACAGCACGTGCCGTCCGTTCGACACGCACGTGAGGGGGCCCCCGGAGTCGCCCGTGCACGTGTCGATTCGGCCGTCGAGGTGGCCGGCGCACACCATGCCCGACGTCACCTCGAACTGGCCGTACCTGTCCGGGCCCGTGCACACCGACATGTCGTACACCTGCACCTCGCCCGACCGCGGGATGTTCTGGCGGAGGGAAACGGCAGTCGGTAAGGCCGGAGGACATGATAATAAGTAGTAAATAAAGATAATAAATCTCCTAAACCTTAAACAACGTTAACAACACGATCTTAAAACAGAATAAACTAAATTTATGATAAAAAACAGCGCAAAGTAAAACTACCAAGTGATCAAGTGACACGACAGGGAGGAGGGAAAAAGGACATATCATCTAACCTGCGGGATTGGCGGCGCCCTCTCCGACGTCGTTCCCCAGCCGGAGATACTGCAGCCGGAGAGCGACGTGTAGTGAGCGTTCTCCTCTGGAAGACACACGGGCTGCACGCTCCTGCCGAATCTGTGTGAAGAGGTAATCGGAAAGTTATTTACCTGTTGTTGTTTTTTCTAGTCATTCTGGGTCCTTTTTTTACACCTGGAATATCATTTGGGATCATCTGGATTTTTTTTCAGTAATGATGATAATCTGGAACTACTAACCTGTAAAAGAAAAAGAATTATTCAAATATGAGACATGAGACATGAAATATTTAATAATTTATTCTAAATATCATCATAGAAAAAAGTGCTTTGACTTATTGGGTTATATTTTAAAGTTATTAAAGTTAAATTTCGGAATGGCATAATGTCACTGATATTCGTGATGACTAATTTAAGAAGACATATTACACTCATCTTGCTGTATTGACGAGAATTATTGCGTAAATCAAAAAAAAGAAGAAAAAAAAATGTTTTTCAGCTAACAGTCTCCCTTTGTTCTCTAAGCCATTTTTTTTTTCAATAACTTCTAAAAAGAGAGAAGAGAAGAAAGGAAAAAAATGTTACCTGAGCGACTCAAGCGATTTATTTTCATTTAACATTTCGACAGACTTCCACTAAAGCTAAAAATACATATAAGAACGCAACATTCTGCTCCGAACATCATCTTAGGTCTGTCGTTTTTATGCTCTCTCTCTCTCTCTCTCTCTCTCTCTCTCTCTCTTTCTCTCTTCCCTTCCCTCCCTCCCTCCCTCCCCTCCTTCTTCCTCTCCCTCTCCCTCTTCCTCTTCCCCTTTCTCTCCTTCTCTCCCTCCTCCCTCCCTCCTTCTCTCCCTCCCACCCTCTCCCTCTCCCTCATTATCACCTTATGCCTCTTCCGTTCTTCCTCGCCACCTTCAGAACAGCGATGTCGTTGTTGAATTCCACCGTCGTGTCGAACTCGTCATGAACCCACAGTTTCTCGATCTGAAAGTCCTGTGAAGGAAGAAGAAAAAGGTTTGTAAAAAAAAAAAATGAGGTAAAGAGATAAAGAGAAAATCACGCAAAATAATCATTTAAATAAATTAAGAATGGTAATCTAAATGAATAACCAATTTAAAAGTAATAACTTAAATATATATATATTTATCCGACTCATGTTGGTTTTAAAATTGTGCAACTGTGTGTGTGTGTGTGTGTGTGTGTGTGTGTGTGTGTGTGTGTGTGTGTGTGTGTGTGTGTGTGTGTGTGTGTGTGTGTACGTGCATGTGCATGTGTATGTGCGTGTGCGTGTGCGTGTGCGGGTGTGCGTGTGTATGTTTTAGATATCTAAATATATACATCTACATGCGTACGCCAGTGCCTGTACATTTATCTAAACACGCATGTACGTATGTACACGTATGTTTTGCATGTAGGCCTATGTGCATTTACCTCCTGCGCGTCCTCCCTGGCGTTCATCTTGTAGTCACCCACTCGAACCACGTAGCTGGATGAACCGTGGATCTTGAAGCAGTGCGCCGCCGTCAACACGTAGTCCTCGGCTATGACTACGCCGCCGCAGTTGTGCTTGAGGCGGCCCTGTTTGAGGGAGGGAGGGAGGGAAGGTAGGTGGGAGAGGGAGAGGGAGGGAGGGAGGGAGGGAGAGGGTGGGAGAGGGAGAGGGAGGAGGGAGAGGTTGAGGGAGGGAGAGGGAGAGGGAGAGAGGGAGGGTGGGAGGGAGGGAGGGAGGGAGGGAGAGGTTGAGGGAGGGAGGGAGAGGGAGAGGGAGGAGGAAGGGAGAGGGAGGAGGGAGGAGGGAGGGAGGGGGAGGAAGGGAGGGAGGAAAAGAGAAGGAGGGAATCAAGGAAGTTGGAGAAACAAGAGGTTGGAGAGAGGAGGAGGATGGAAGGAGAGAGGGAAAGAGAGAGGGAGAGAGCAGAAAAGGGGCGAGGAAGGAAAGGAAAGAAATGAGTACAAAAACATTAATATTTGGGACAATACTCATCTAAGCGCTGTCTAAAGATTATAAGGTCTAATAAAAATGTTGTTTATGAGAATAACACAATAATGGTAACTTGGAAAACAGATATTCTGAAATACTGTCTAACATAAATACAATCTAGTATAAATATTGGGACCGACATAATACAAAAAATAAGTGAGTATAAACAAACATTAATGAAAAAATCACAGGAAAAAGGTAAAACAGAAAAAAAAGAGAAAAAAAAAAGGTAAAAACGAAATCAAACGCTAAAACGACGCAGTTCCGGAACATAAAGATCCAAAGCTTCGAACCCCAAGGCACGAACCTCCTCCCGCAGCTGCAGCGAGACAAGCCAAGGGTTCTCGAGGGATGTCTGCGAAGCTCCGCCCACAATCTTGGCGAAGTTGTCGACGAGGAAGGACGAGGAGGACGAGTCAGTGGTCTTGCCGCAGCCGTCGGGAAGGGCCGTCTGTAGTCCGCGGTTCACCACGCCGCGTCTGTTGAGGTCCAGATTGCGGTTACTTTACCATCAGAACATGTATTTCTACTTTGGAATATATTAAAATATCATCATTGTTATACATACATACATAGATGCAATAAACAAATAAATAGATTAAAAAAGGATCTATATAATGTTTTGTTACAAAAATAAACTTTTCAAACAGGATTACAAATACTTTTTAATCATTGTTATCGTTATGATGATTACAACATCAGTTATTATTATATTTGTTGCGTTTCAAAAATGCCGTATAGTAAAAAATAATAGATTTTTAATATATGATCTCTTAATTAAAAAGTTTTTGAAGCCTTGATAATTATGTTCATTGCGTAAACCATGTAATATTTTTTATAGAGTGGAGAACAACATGACTCGGTTAGAATAATAACAGGTCATAGTGATGAGATGTGTTAAAAAAAATACTGATTTAAAAAAATAAACAAAGAAAATTGGTTAAAGAATATATATATATATTATATATATATATATATATATATATATATATATATATATATATATATGTATATATACATACATTGTGTGTGTGATTTCTCTCTCTCTCTCTCTCTCTCTCTCTCTCTCTCTCTCTCTCTCTCTCTCTCTATATATATATATATATATATATATATATATAATATATATATATATATATATATATATATATATATATATATATATATATATATATATATATATATATATATATATATATATAAAGGCAACAACCACGATAGAAATTCATTGAGAATTTAAACTGGAAGGAACACTAAGTTTACTCAAACTTTCTTAATAAACATTAAAAAATGACTAAAATGAAGAGCAGAATCCAAATCAAAAGAAGTACAAAAGGCAGAAGGGAAATAATGGAAGATGGAGTAGAAAAAGAAAAAGAAAAGAGAAAAGGTAGTTGAAAAAGAAATAAAATGTAGAAATAAATGAGAGCAAAAGGCGAATTACGAGAAGAAAACAAATGAAAAAGAAGAAAAGAAAAGAAAAAAGAATAAAACCGTCATGAATTATGCGAACAGACAGACAAAATAAGTGATCATGACTAGTCATAATAAATCTTCCGAGAAATTACTCAAGACAAGATTTTCTTCCGAATGAGTGTTCGTGAATTGAGGACATCGTTGCGCCGAGATGAGCGTAATGATTTGATTTCTGCATTTGGTTCCTGTTATTATTACTAATAATTGTGAGAGTAATGATAGTATCATTATAATTGTTATAATGGTTGGGATTTATTAGCACCAATATCACTTTCATCATCTCATCAAAGATAGTAATAGTAGTGCTGTTCATTGTTATCACTGTTCTTGCTGCTACTGCCCTCTAGTGATGTGTGTGTGTGTGTGTGTGTGTGTGTGTGTGTGTGTGTGAGAGAGAGAGAGAGAGAGAGAGAGAGAGAGAGAGAGAGAGAGAGAGAGAGAGAGAGAGAGAGAGAGAGAGAGAGAGCGAGCAGAGCGCCATTATAGTTTAGAGCAGTCTCACCTAGAGCTACCAACTAGAAACAGCACCCCATAAAACCTGGTACTCCTGAACCGCCTCTCCCAAACGTTACACCAAGACAGAACACCCAACCGCAAACAGAGCCGCATAAATCCTGGTACTGGACAGCCTCTCTCTCACGTACACCATGACAGAACACCTAACCGCAACCAGCAACCCATAATACCCGGTACTCCTCTCCCAAACGTACACCATAACAAAGCACCCAACCGTAAACAGCACCTCATAATACCTGGTATTGAACAACCTCAACCCCAACGTACACCATAGAAAAGCACCCAACCGTAAACAGCAATTCATAAAATCTGGTACCCCTGAACAACCTCTTCTTCCTCTTTCCAAACTTCCACCAAGACTGAAAAGTAACTCGCAAACAGCACCCCATAATACTGGTTGTTCCTCCATCAAACGTATATACCAAGACAGAAGACCGGACAAGTTAGGCGACCTAACCGCAAACAGCGCGCCATAAAACCCAGTACGGTACAGCTTCTCCTGACGTGACAGAACACCCAACCGCAAACAGCACCCCATAATACCTAGTACTGAACAGGTACAATATAGCATGACAGAACACCCAACTGCAAATAGCACCCCATAATATCAAGATCTATACAAGGAAGGCTTCGTCACGTTGCTAGGGGTGTGACGTCACTAGTGTCGGAGTACTAGTGGCAGAGGGCTTTCTTAACAGAAAACGTTAATGAGCAGAGACTATTATAATTTTTTTTCTGTGTATTCTTCATATGTGAATATTCTATACTAGTCTCGTTTTAACTATATACATTTTACCTATTCCTATTATTTTTTATTTTTATCATTATCATTATCATTATCATTATCATCATTATCATTCTTGTTATCTTTATTATTCCAAAATCAGATAAGCAATCTAACACCAAATCATTGGCCATAAAAATGTTTCGTAAGATGAAATCAATATCCTTTCCTTGATTTGCTGAAAATGCAATGCAGTAACAAGACCTATGTGTTACGGGGAGATTTCTGTAGTGAGGAAGGTGTATATATATTTCCATTTTCACAAGTCCTCTGTGTCTTTTGGTATGTTGACTAATGTTAATGAGTCGATCTATTGCTCGAAACCAGCCACCATAATTTTTTTTTTAAGAGATTTTTTAAAGAGATTTCTCTGAGTTAAAAGCGCGCATACTCGTCACACAAAAGCAGTTCCATCGAGATGTTAACGCGGCCGAGGCGAACATTGATCTAACAGCCTGGGTAGCAGGGAACCCATGGCCTCTGACATAAGTATCAGTGACGCAATCCTGCGCGAGCGTAAATACCTAGGGTCTATATAAGTAAGGTGTATATAAGTACTATACTTATATAAACCTCGTATATAAGTACTTATACAAGGCTTGTCATACCAGTGACGAGACATTACTTACAAAAAACCTTACCATAACACCTGGTATTTCTTTTCTCCCTAACTTACAACAAGACAGAAAACCCAAACGCAAACAGCAACCCATAATACCTGGTTGCATAACACGATACCGCCGCGTCCTCGGAGTGCACGCAGTCCGAGGCTCCCGGAGGCGACTTCTTGCACAGTCTGAGGTCGGACTCCTCGCCCGTGCAGTCCAGGGAGTCCAGCCAGACAGGTCCGGAACCACGGCCGAAACGTGCATTCTTGTGAGCCACGGCGTCGCCTTGGTAACCCAGCATCCTGCACACGACCTGAGGGAAAAGGGGCAGAGGAACGTGAATCTGCATCTCTGATGAGGTTCTGTCCTTTTGACAATAAAAATGATAATAATAATAGTGATATTGAAGATAACAAAAACAATAATAAAAACCTTGTCTATATAAGTTCCTACCACCCAAACGAAGTCCCACAAAACTTACTTTAGCGTCGTAGTCGTCGAAATCATCATCGCAGACCGTACCCCATTTGCCCGCCAGGTTCACCTCCACTCGGCCCTGGCTCTTGGTCGGGCCGCCAGTCAGACGCAACTCCAACTGCAAACGGGGGAATAAAAAGACTTAGTAAACGAATGAACGAATGAATGGATGAATGGATGAATAAGTGAATGAATCAATCAATAAATGTGATCTGATATCCTGAGCAGATGATTAAAGAAGAGGGAAATCAAATGAAAATTCATCTGAAAACGATGATGATGATGATGATGATGATGATGATGATGTTGATAATGATGATGAAGATAATGATGATGATGATGATGATGATAATAATGATGATGATGATGATGATAATGATGATGATGAAGATAATGCTGCTGCTGCTGATGATGATTTGATGATAATGATGCCGATGATGACGATGGCGATGACGATGCTGATGATACTACTACTACTGCTACTGATAATGACAACAACACAATCATCATTAACAAAATACCAATAGCCCTGAAAATAAAATCTCACCTGATCAGAGCACAGCACGCCCACATCTTCCGTATGGTCGCAATCTGTCACGCCCCAGACCAGGCCACTGCAGGCGCCCACCCAGGACTCGTGACCCTGCGATGTGGGCGGGGAATTAAAAGTGGGCGGAGATCAGAAGGGGGCGGGGTTTATAAATGGGCGGAGATCAGAAGGGGGCGGGGCTTATGTATGTAGGTTTTCGTATGTATATTCTGTATCTACTGATTTACCTATAGACATGGCTATCTGTTTATCCATACCTATGTCTGTCTGCCTGTCTGTATCTATGCATCTACATCTACATCTGTACATCTATATTTATCTATCTATGTCTACCAGTCAGTCTATCTATCTATGTCTATCAGTCAATCTATCCATATATATCTATATATAACTATCCGTACATCTATATGTAATTCTACCTATCTATCGATCATTCTATCTATCTATATGATATGTGTGTGCTCCATATAAACACATTACTGTAGCTATCATAATATCATCATATTACAAAACATTATTACATAATATTAGTTCATAAGATTCTGTCCTTTTTATTTATAATTAGTCATTGCCTTTTCACTAAACAAATATCTTTTCCGTATACCCACACAACTTCGAGCTACTCACAACTCTAACTCCAGTTTACAACTCCAACTCCAACTTACACCTCCAGCTACAACTCCAGTCATAACTCCAACTTACAACTCCAGTTATAACTCCTCCAACTTACAACTCCAGTCATAACTCCAACTTACAACTCCAGTTATAACTCCTCCAACTCACAACTCCAGTTATAACTCCTCCAACTCACAACTCCAGTTATAACTCCTCCAACTCACAACTCCAGTTATAACTCCTCCAACTCACAACTCCAGTTATAACTCCTCCAACTTACAACTCCAGTTATAACTCCTCCAACTTACAACTCCAGTTATAACTCCTCTAACTTACAACTCCAGTTATAACTCCTCCAACTTACAACTCCAGTTATAACTCCTCCAACTTACAACTCCAGTTATAACTCCTCCAACTTACAACTCCAGTTATAACTCCTCCAACTTACAACTCCAGTTATAACTCCTCCAACTTACAACTCCAGTTATAACTCCTCCAACTTACAACTCCAGTTATAACTCCTCCAACTCAAAACTCCAGTTTAGAACTCCAGCTATAACTCCACTGACAACTCCATCTGCGCCTCCATCTACAACCCACCACTCACAACTTCACAGTCTCTTGGCCTCACCTTGCACTCCGGTTCGTCCACGAGGACCTCGCCGACGCCACGCCCAAAGAACGCCCGCGGGTAAGGCACCGCCCACCCGCCGTCGTAACCCAGGCTGCGGCAAATCACCTGCGGAAGAGGTACATGTTTTGTTTCAAAGCTTTTCTAGATACTGTATAGTTTTGTAGTTTGTATCTTATAGGCATCTCCCTCTGCTATCCTCTCTCCTTCTCTCTCTCTCTCTCTCTCCTCTCCTCCCCCTTCCCCTCTCCTCCTCCTCCTTCCCCTCTCCTCTTCCTTCCCCTCTCCTCTTCCTTCCCCTTTCCTCTTCCTTCCCCTCTCCTCTTCCTTCCCCTCTCCTCTCCCTCCCCCTCTCCTCTCCCTCCCCCTCTCCTCCTCCTTCCCCTTTCCCTTCCCCTCTCCTCCCCATCCCCTCCCCCCTATCTCCCTCCCTTTCCCCTCCCCCTTCCCCTCCCCTCCCCTCCCTCTCCCCTCTCCCAACCCTGCCTTACCTTCGCCTGCTTATCATCGAAGGCGTCATCGCACACGGTGCCCCATCGGCCTCGGTGCTTGACGAAGACGGTGCCCGACGTCGTGCCCTTCAGCGCCTCCGTCTTGGTCTCGAGTCGCGTCACGCCCACGTCGTCGCACAGCTCGTCCGCCTCGTCGCTGTGGGCGTGGAGGGAGGGGGGAGGGAAGGAGGGAGAGGACGTTGAGTTGAGGCGAAAGGAAATCGGTCGAGTTTTAGATGTGAAGTTTTAGGTTGAAGGGAATGTTATCGTTTTAATGATTACTTCTGTGATTGTTGTAATTGTTATGATGATTATCATTTACTGTTGCTGTTTTTTGTTAGTGTTATAGTTATTTTTTATTATCCCTATTAATATTATTTTTTTTATCATTATCATTATTGTTTTATTATTATCATTATTTTTTATTATTATTATCATTATTTTTTATTATTATTATCATATTTTTTCTATTATCATTATCACCACCATTAATATCATTACTATCCTTATTACCACTAACATCATTATCATCATCATCACCAGTTTAATCACCAGCATCACAATAACAAAAAAAGAACCAGTAAAAAAACAACAACAAATTAACAAAACATTAAAAAATCGTATTCCCCCCCCTCTTCCCCCTTAACTAACCTGCCGTCGAAGCAGTCCTTGGAGCCATCGCACACCTGGCTCCTCGGAATGCAGGTGTGGAGGCGAGCGGAGCCACACAGGAACTTGTCCACGTCGCAGAGGGAGGCGCTGGTACGGCATACGGCGCCCGCGATCTAAGTGTGGGGAGGGGTGGGGGATGTTGTTATTAGTTGTACGATTCGTCTGATGGATTGCTTGTTTCTCTGTCTCGCTCTTTCTCTCTCTTTCTCTCTTCTCTCTCTCTCTCTCTCTCTCTCTCTCTCTCTCTCTCTCTCTCTCTCTCTCTCTCTCTCTCTCTCTCTCTATCAAACAGACAAAATACTAAAACAGAACCGAAAAGTACAGATCAAAGTTTAAATATATGGATATATATATATATATATATACATACATACATACATACACACACACACACACACACACACACACTCACACACACACACACACACACATATATATATATATTATGTATATATTCATATAAATTAAAAACTGACCTCCGTTGGGCCGCAGTTGTGCACACCGAGGCCGCTGTTGGGGCAGTCGAAGAACGTGGCCTCGCGGCCCGAACAAGACACTCTATCCAGCCAGAAACTGGGTTGACTTCGACGCAGATCTGAAGAAGGAGAAGGAGAAGGAGAGATTTTAATAAGGTTTGAGCGTTCGTGATTAAGGTTGCTTTGTTTTGAGGTGTTTGTGAAGGGTGTGCCTTGGTGTTGGGGGAAGTTGCAGTTGTGTGTGCCTTGGGAGAGAGAGAGACGGTGTGATAGCATGGAGATACATACATACATACATATACATACATACATAAATATATAAATATAAATATATACATACATACATACATACATACATATATATATATATATATATATATATATATATATATATATATATATATATATATATATATATATATACATACACACATTTACAGTTTATATATGCGCACGTACACACACACATACACATGAGGAATATATATATATATATATATATATATATATATATATATATATATATATATATATATATATATACGCACACTAACACTGTACATGTATATATATATGTATATATATGTATATAGATAGATAGATAGAGAGAGAGGAAGAAAGATAGAGAGAGAGAAAGAGAGAGAGAGAAAGAGAGAGAGAGAAAGAGAGAGAGAGGGAAAGAGAGAGAAAGAGAGAGAAAGAGAGAGGAAGAGAGAGGAAGAGAGGGACAGAGGGAGAGAGAGAGAGAGAGAGAGAGAGAGAGAGAGAGAGAGAGAGAGAGAGAGAGAGAGAGAGAGAGAGAGAGAGAGAGAGAGAGAGAGGGAGAGAGGGAGAGAGGGAGAGAGAGAGAGAGAGAAAGAGAGAGAAAGAGAGAGAAAGAGAGAGAAAGAGAGAGGGAGGGAGAGAGAGAGGGAGGGAGGGAGGGAGGGAGGGAGGGAGGGAGGGAGGGAGGGAGGGCGGGAGGGAGGGAGAGAGAGAGAGAGAGAGAGAGAGAGAGAGAGAGAGAGAGAAAGTAAACGAAGGAAAGAGAGAGAGAGAGAGAAAAGTAACAACAGAAGGAGAGAAAAAAAACCTAAACAAATCCGCACAAACTCACTACTGTCACTGTTTCCGAATCGGTTGTTCCGCGTGAAGGTCTCGGCGCCAGGGAAGCCGAGGTCGCGGCACAGAACATCCGCTGACTCGAAGCCGAAGCCGTCGTCACACACCCAACGCCACTCGCTGCCCACCTTGATCTGCGGGCGTGGGAGGGAAGGGAGGAAGTGGGGGAGAAGAGGGTATGGGTGTCGGTAATCAGTTGTAAATAAAAGGCATTTCTGTTCTTATGTTGTGTAGGATAATACATAGAAAGAGTTTAGATTTTAACACTGTTGAATATATTGCTGAATTCAGAAGTCTAAAAAGGAAACGTAATATATCATTATCAAATTACACTAGAAGAACAATAAAGAAAAACATGATATTAAACCTATTTCTCTTTCATTTTCACATCCACCCACCGCCCACCTCACCACCCACCGCCCACCAATACCACCCACCTCACCACCTCACCACCCACAACCCAGCAAAAATAAAAAACCCACCTGGACATTGCCCTCGTGCGCGCCCGCCCCGCCGACCAGCCTCGTCTCGTACTTCATGGGCGTGCGACACTGCCTCTCGTCCGTGTTATCCCCGCAGTCGTCGGCGCCGTCACAAGCCTTCCCTCTGTCGATGCACTTCTCGTTCCCGCACCGCAGCCTCGTGCCGCAGACGCCCCTCCGTGACCGCAGCTCGTAGAAGACCTCGCGGCTGGAGGGGATCAGCCCGGAGCTCACGACGTCGTTGGTGCTGAGGGAACACCTGCGGGAGGGAGGGACGGTTAGGAGGGAGGGAGAGAGGGAGGGAGGGGTGGGAAGGGTGGGTGGGTGAGTGGGGGGAGGGAGGGTGGGGTGGCAAGGGTGGGTGGGTGAGTGGGAGGGATGGAGAGAGGGAGGGAGCGAGGGAGGGAGTGAAGGAGGGAGTGAGGGAGGGAGGGGGGAAGGAGGGAAGGAGGGAGGGAGGTAGGGGAGGGAAGGGTGGGAGAGGGAGGGGAGGGAGAGAGGGGTGGGAAGGATGGGTGGGTGGGGGGGAGGGAGGGAGAGGAGTGAAGGAGCGAGAGAGGGAGGGAGGGAGTTAGGGAGGGAGGGGGGAAGGAAAGGAGCGAGAGGAGGGAGAGAGGAAGCGAGCGAATGAGAGAGGGAGGAGAGGAAGGAGAGGAATGGAAGGTGGGTGAACGGGGTAGAGGGACAGAGGGAGGGAAGGGCGAAGGGTTTTTGAGTTGTTGATAAAGACAAGTCCACGAAACCTATACTAAAATTATGAAATGATAAGTAATGAGGCAAATGGCATCAAAATCAATCATGGAATAAAAGTAACAAACGTCGAGTGAATCTCCATAATACTCCAAAATAGATAGAATCTATAAATAAATGTATGAATTAATTAATGTCCGACGCTCTCCCTTACACTTCAAACAGACAATCAAATAAGTAAACAAACTCACAAACACACACATGAATAAATACCGGACGATCCCATAGAAAAAAAAAAAAAAAAAAATCTGCAACTTCATTTACTGCTTCGAAATCTCGTCGTGAATGAACACCCGACAGAGCTTGCTGTTGATACGTTTCTTGGCACACAAGTAAATAAATCAACAAGTAAATAAATCAACAAGTAAATAAATCAACAAGTAAATAAATAAAAGCCTTAGCACATAACCAAACAGTAGATAAATAAGTGTCGATCAGTCTTATTCGAAAAATATAAATCCGCTGCTTCACTTGCTGCTTCGAGATCTCGTCGTATATGAATCCCCGATAGATCTTGTTCTCGATGCACTTCTTGGCACATAACAGACAAACAAAAATAAATAAATAAATAAATACATCCCTTGGCACACTAACAAACAAACGAACAAATAAATGCCAAACCATCTCACTCAAAACGAAAAAGAAAACAAAGAGAGAATCCGCCGCTTCACTTACTGCTTCGAAATCTCGTCGTAAATGAACCCGCGACAGAGCTTGTTGTCGATGCACTTCTTGGCACAGACGCCCACCTCCGCCCGTGGAAGCACCGTCAACACCACTCGCTCCAGTAGAGTCTTTCCGAATTTTGCCTCGAACTCCTGGAGAAGGTGAAAGGGGAAGAAGAAAATGTTTAGTGAGATGGAGGAGGAGGAGGAAGAAGAAGAAGGGAAACGTTAATAAAGGTGGAATAGTCGATTTCCAGAAGAGAAAAAAAGAAGAATTAGGGAAGATTAAGAAATAGTAGAAGCGCTTAATGAGAAGAAGGAATATTCGAGTTACCGAAGATGAAAAGGACAAGAAAGAAGAAGGGAAAAGAAGATGGAGAATCAATTGACGGAGAGGAAAAAAATAAAAGAATTAAAAGATGGAGATTAAAAGATCCGAAGAAGATAGAAAAATGTTTCAGAAGACAAAGAAACACGAGACAAGAAAGGGTAATAAGCAACTGAAGGAAAAATGTTTCAGGAACGGAACATAGAAGAAGAGTTAGTGTTAGCTAGTGTTAGCGCCATTCAAAGAAACTACTGAATCCTATGGTTACATTTATCTAGGCTTTTAATTCATATTTGCGTACGTCTAGATAAGTTTAGGGAAAAAATGTTAAAAGTTGAAAATGGAAATAGATAACGTTTATACTTCGTAAAAAATTCAGATCACATCATGGATTAAATTTTCAAATATCAGCAGAAAAAAAACACCAACAACAAAAGACCTAAACCAAAGGAAATCAACTAAACACCCAAACATAAAAAAAAAAACAATACCCCAAAAAACACCAAAGCAAACAAAAACCAACACAAAAAAAACGTACCTGTAAGAAACGTTTGCACAGGTGTTCATCGTCGCCTCTCGGACACTGCCGCTCTCCGTCGCACACCTGTTCTGAGGGGACACACCCGCCGCCGTTCTCACAGGTGTACTCTCCAGGCTGGCACCGAATCTGGGGGTCAGAGGGGACGGTGAGTGAGTGAGGGAGAGGGGGAGGGAGGGAGGAAGAAAGGGATGGAAGGAGGGAGAGAGGGAGGAAGGGGAAAGAGGGGGGAAGGAGTAGAGGTAAGGCAGGAGGAAGAGAGGGAGGGAAGAAAAGATTGAGAGAGAGAGAGAGAGAGAGAGAGAGAGAGAGACAGACAGACAGACAGAGAGAGCAGGAGAGGGAAGGAGAAAGGAAGAGAGATGATGAGAATTCCCGTTCCAAAAGAATATCTCCACAATACAACCCAGAAATAAACTAAAGAAAAGGGGGGGGAGAGGGCTACACCATAGCAGGGCCAGCCACGGTAAATAGAATTCTCCCCCCCCCCCCAAAAAAAAAAAATGTTTCGAACGCCGAATTTGAACGCAACCATTACTCTACAAGGTTCTGAGTGTTTCGAAGCTCCATTCAACGAGTCCCGACCCCTTTTAAATGGACGCACATACCTTTGTCGTCGTAGTGGTCGTAGCCCTGGTGGTCGTGGGCGAAGTGGAAGGGGTCGTGGTGAAGGTAGCGGGTCGTGTGGCTGAGTTGAGAGGACGAAGAAGAGTTGAAGATCTTTGGGTCGTTTCTGTGGTGAGGGTAAAGCGGGTCAGTTATTTAGAAAGGAGACAGATACGTAAAGAATAAGTAATGATGATGATAATAACAACAACAAAATAATGATAATATATGACATATTATGTAATATATAAGATAAATGAAAAAATAGTCAGTATATTTCATGAAAGTCTGCATTGTCCAAGTATATATTAGACAGTTCAAGATAAGTGAAAAAAGAAAAAAAAATATTAATCAACGTCCTCGCTGTATGAAAGTATTAGCTAAGAACACAATTCTGACATGTAGTGGAAAACGAAGTTGTTGGTAATGTTGCAATTTTGTTGCAGGTGAAAGAATCATTGCAATGGAGACCAAAAAGAGAGTCAAAAAGAGAACTAGAAATATTTGTATGATATTTTTTTAATATTCATAATATGTGATTGTCGTTCAGTCTGACTATGAAATAAGAAAATCGTATTTGGTCTGAGGAAGGTGAGAGTAAATGGTTTGTAGAATGTAAAAGCCAAACAATATTAGCACAAAAATGATGACAAAGTGGCGTTAGATGAAGCTTCACTAGAGAGATAATGAGAAATTGAAAATTGTGGGAGATTCGTTTTTTTTAAAGAGTTAAGGCGATTTCGCAACAGGAATTAAGCTTTTTTGCGCTTGTGTTTCCTTACAATTTTTTTCCGAATGAAATAAATCTTGCTACTGACACGCCTTAGTCTATTTAACTTTCTGCAATGTAAAAAATAGTAATTCGGCTTTTCAAGTGAAGATTTGTTACTTTGTGTTGCATTGCGTGAAATGTGCAAAAGACAATTGAAACATCAGCGAAACCGAAACCCAATGGGCCCGTTTCCCTCCGGCGTCGCTCGGGCGGCGGGGAGCGACTCCGGGACGGGAGCGCGGGGGCAGCGGGGGCGCCCTGCACGACGCCGAGATCTTTACCGGTCGCGGGGACACTCCTGCCGGCGTCGCAGGCGGGCACGTCGCAGGGCTCGGCCGCCTCGGGCCCGACGAAGCACCAGGGCGAATGGGCTCCGTCGGGGTTCCTGCAGAAATTGTGGGCGCCGAGGAGGCCCAGGTCAAAGTTCCTCGCCCGCGCCGCCCGCCCCTGCAGGGAGTTGATGGCGGGGTCGTCCCACGAGAGGCAGGGGCGGCCCGAGAGGGTGACGGCGGCGGTGCCCGCGTAAGAGGAGCCATTACCATCGTAACAGCCTGGGGGGGGAGGGAGGGAGGGGGGTGTCAGTGGGCGGGTGAGGAGGGCGGAGCGAGGGAAGGTGGGCGGGGCAGAAGGTGAGGAACTTGGTTATTCATGACAGGGGGCTCAAGAAGCTGGCACGGAATAATGATAAATAGCTCTGGTAAATAAGAATAAATCATGCTAGCAGGGAGAATACAGAGCGACAAGAGTTGATATATATATATATGTCATGAAGATCACTATTATAGTCATGAGGTTCAAATCATGAGCGTGTGATGCGATGACTGTAATGTGGAAGTCCCCTGTAAGAAATGCAACATGTGGCATCAGTATAAATATTCATAACCATTGATGTTTAAACAAGAACATTTTGAAATGCTGTCAATAAAACTACACATACAGTATATATATGCACACACACACACACACACACACACACACACACACATATATATATATATATATATATATATATATATATATATATATATATATTTATATTTATATATATTTATATAATACAAACACGCACGTAAACTCTATCGCACAAATATATATAGATAAACAATCAAGCGTATAGAGAAAACTGAAACACGATGAAAATACAAACTAAAAGTAAAAATCATACATTCTAAACAAGCAAACGCATCCATAAACACAAAACAAGTACAAATCAAACGACGACTCATATACCCTTAACTAAACACATAGACAGACATGCAAAAAAACGCCAACAAACACAAAAAACACACATACATAAAATACAAAAACACACATGTAAAAAAATAAACACAAAAACACACACAAACACAAAAACACTCGCATAAAAAAACAAAAACACTCGCAAAAAAAGGACAACTCCCATACCCTTTGTATAAAACCACACACAACAAAAACAACAACAATAATAACCCTTATCACGTGTCCCAATAAGACGCGCCTCCTCCTATCAGTCGGAGGTCAACGCGTGACCTTCCTCCGTCGGCCCCTTTCCTCAGGCCAGGTCAAGGGAAGCCACAAGAACAGGGAAAAGACTAACAGTATTTCTTTCTTTCCATTTATTTTATTTTCATTTTTTTTCCCTTTTTTATCTTCCTGTTCGTCCGTCCGCGTTCTTTCGGTGTCACGGGCGGAAGTGACGTCATCAATATAAAGAAGACTGGGAATATTTGAATGAGTTTTTTTTTTTTCTTGTAAATGTTGATAATATGTGATTGTTTTTCCTATATATCTGGCTTTATTATTTATGTAGGTCTTAAACTGCGGAAATCTGGAAACGTTTAGCAAAATATGATAAAAAGTAGAATAAGAAGATAGATAATAATGATATTTCGCTAATAAACCTTCACGTTATACATTTATTTTTCTAACATCAGCTGAAAAAAACTCACACAAATAGAAAGCAAACAAACATAAAAAACAAACATAAAGAAAACAAAGAGAAAACAAAAGAAAATATTTTAATCGAGTGGGAGAGATTTTCAGGTTATGGAAATAAAGAGGTTTTCGTAAATATTTTTTTCGTAAAGATTTTATGAAATTAAATTTTTGTAAAGAGGTTTTCGTAAAGAAGTTTCGCAAAGATGTTCTGAATAAGGTTTTCACAAAGAGATTTTCGTAAAGAGGTTATGAATACAGTTTTCGTAAAGGAGTTATGAATACGGTTTTCGTAAAGAGGTTTTCGTAAAAAAAAGTTATGAATAAGGTTTTCGTACAGAGGTTTTGGTAAGGAGGTTTTCGTAATGAGATTTTCGTAATGAGATTTTCGTCTTAATCATGAATTATTCGTCGTAAGGTTTTCGGAATGAAGTTTTACGTCATTAGGTGTTCGTAATGAGAAATTTTCGCTTTTGAATATGTTTGATTTTGGGTAATTTGTTTCTTTACATCTCTGGTCCATTTTTATTCTTTTGTGTGTTTATTTTCCTATTTCCCCTGTTTTTTTTCACTTATTATTTCGGTTTCTTTTTCTTTGCTTTAAGTGTGTTTATTCTTACTGTGGTTTCTCCTGTATTTTTCGGGGAAGAGAGAGAGAGAGAGAGAGAGAGAGAGAGAGAGAGAGAGAGAGAGAGAGAGAGAGAGAGAGAGAGAGAGAGAGAGAGAGAGAGAATGATACGACAAATACAGACAGAGAGAGAGACACCCGACAAATAGGAGAGAGAAAGAAAAAGAGACAGAGCAGAGCTGGCATCTCTATCTCCACACATCAAACAAAATTTATCCACGTGGTGACACCTGCCAACCCACCCCTTGCACGAGGACACATATGTAAAAGAGATGACCCATGATAACCTTTCTCAGTACTCTAGTAACCTTCTCGAGGCCACACGCTGCCAGCCCCTCCTCCCCCCCCCCCCCTGTCCCTGAAGGTGCTCTTTTTCCTCTTTCTTCTCCTCCTCCTCCTACTCTTCCTCCTCCTCCAGCCACCACTAGCTCCCCCTACTCTACCTTCTTCCTCTTTTTCTTCTTGTTGTTCTTGTTCTTGTTCTTTCTCCTCCTCCTCTTTCTCTTTCTCCTCCCCCTCCTCCTTCCTCCTTCTTCACCTCTTTTTCTCCCTCTCCTCAACCTCCACCTCCACCCATCCTTCCACTTCCACCTCCACCCCTCTTTTCCCCTCCCCTTCCTCCTCCTCCACCTCTTTTTCTCCCTCTTCTCAATCTCCACCTTCTCCTTCTCCCTCTCCTCCATCTGCACTTCCACCTCCACCTCCACCCCTCCTTCCACCTCCACCTAGACTAGCCTTGCCTCTGCGCCCGACCTCCTCTGACCCTCTGACCACTTGACAGCTTATCTGCAGTCTTTCAAGTCACAGGGAATCCCTCGCGAGATCTTAATCGTCTTTCTAGTAAACTTCCAGAGACATTCGCGAAGGAGGAAGGAGAGAGAAAGGGAGAGAGAGAGAGAGAGAGAGAGAGAGAGAGAGAGAGAGAGAGAGAGAGAGAGAGAGAGAGAGAGAGAGAGAGAGAGAGAGAGAGAGAGAGAGAGAGAGAGAGAGAGAGAGAGAGAGAGAGAGAGAGAGAGAGAGAGAGAGAGAGAGAGAGAGAGAGAGAGAGAGAGAGAGAGAGAGAGAGAGAGAGAGAGAGAGAGAGAGAGAGAGAGAAACAGACACAGAGAGAGAAACAGAGACAGAGACAGACAGACAAAGACAGAGAAAGACAGATACATAGAAAGACAGAGAAATAGAGAGAGGGAGCTGAAAACCATACCTAAAAACAACATTCACATAAACTACAGGACAGATAACCTTGCTAAACCACGCAAACAAATTGACGTATCTTATCATGCCAAAGGCCATGCACTGACTTTATCTATAATAGGTAGTGCATAAAACAAACAATTTCTGTCTCCTACAAATATACTATGCATATATTAACTGTAATCAATTGCATACAGACATACTGACACATCCATGCAAACCACGCTCATACTTATTAAACACACACACACGAACATACACACAAAAAATATTACTATACTACTATGATAATAATAATAATAATAATAATAATAATAATAATAACAATGATGATAAATAAATAAAATGAAAATAACTAAAATAATGATAAAACACACAGCTCTGGAGAGGCCGACGGACTGCGGTCAACGTCTATGAAAGAATAAAAAAAAAAAACTAATTAAAAAGATCACCTCTGCTCCGAGTAAATTCCTCATTGCCTCAACAAAGGATTGCGACTCATGACTCACTCACGAGTAACCGATGAGTCGTGAGTCCTCGCCGTTCTGAGTCACGCCTGGACGGTGCTATCCTCCTTTACTCATTCTCCTTCTCCCTTCGCTTCTTTCTCTGTCTTCCTTCCCTTATTCTCCCTCTCCCTTCCGTTCGTTCTTCTCTCATTCCCTCTTCTTTCTTTTCACTCATTCTCCTTCTCCCTTCCCTTCATTTTCTCCCTCCTTTCCCTCATTCTCCTTCTGCTTTCTCTTCGTTCTCCCTCTCCTTTCCTCATTCCCTCTATTATTTCCTTCATTTTCTCCCTCCCTTCCCTCATTCCCTCTCTTCTTTCCCTTCACTCTCTCACTCCCTCCCCTCATTATCTCTCTCCCTTCCTTCATTCTCCCTTTTCTTTCCCTTCATTCTCTTCCTCATTTCTCTCATTCTCTCCTTCCTTTGTTCCCTCTTTCCTTTCCCACCTTTCTTCCGGCTCCTTTTCCCTCCTCCTCTCCTCCTTCATTCCTTCACTCTCTTCATCTCTTCCCTTATTTTCCTTCTTTCTTCTTCCCCCTTCCCTTCCTTCACTTTCTCCCTCCCTTCCCTCCTTTATTAAAAGGAAAAAGAAAATCAAAGGGGGAAATATAGAGGTAAAATAAAAGGGAAAAGAAAGGAAAAGAAAAGGAAAGTAAAAAGTACAATAAAAGGAAGAGGTAAAAAGAAAAAGAAAAAGGAAAGGAAAGAGAAAATGAAAAGGAAAAATAAAGAGAAAAGAAAAAGGAAAACCAGAAAAGGGAAGAATGAAAATAAAAATAAAAAGAACAACGAAAAAGTAAAAGACAGAAGAAGGCGGGAGGGAAAAGGAAAATAAAAAAACGAAATATAACTGAATACAAAGTAAAAATACTATGAAAATAAGAGAGAAAACAGATAAAAGAAGAAGAAAAAGAAGAAGAAGAAAAGGAAGAAGACGAAGAGAAGAGAAAAGAAAAAGAAAAAGAAGAAGAAAAAGAAATAGAAGAAAAAAAAGAAAAAGAAAAAGAAGAAGAAGAAGAAAAGGAGAGAACCACGCCACAGATGAAAACGATGATGACGATGATGACGACGACCTCTCCTGGTGGCCGCTCTCCCCACCCCCCCTCAGATTCGCTTGTTTACGCCGGCCAGCTATTCGAGGCGTCGCCGTGGGAGCCGTCGTCAGGTGCCCCCTATTCGCACTCCGGTGTTTACGTTGTCCGAATATCGAAGCGAGTTTTCTTTGCAATTTCCCTTTCTTTATTTCTTTCTCTCTCTGTCTCTGTCTCTCTCTCTCTCTCTCTCTCTCTCTCTCTCTCTCTCTCTCTCTCT